GGCAGAAAAAAGAAGTCCTTCAAAACCAGTGAGAACGAAGACACCACATGCCAGAATCTCTGGGACACATTTAAAGCAGTCTCTAGAGGAAAGTATATAGCAATAAGTGCCCATATGAGGAGAATACAGAGATCCAAATTTGACACCCTATTGTCAAAATTGAAAGAGCTAGAGGAGCAAGATCAAAAAGCTCAAAACCCAGCAGAAGACAAGAAATGACTAAGATCAGAGCTGAACTGAAGGAGATTGAGACATGAAAAACCCTTCAAAAAATCAATAAATCCAAGAGCTGGTTTTTTGAAAAGATCAACAAAATAGACAGACCACTAGCCAGATTGATTAAAAATAAAAGAGAGTACAACCAAATAGATGCAATAAAAAATGATAAAGGGGAAATCACCACAGATTCCACAGAAATTCAAATCATCATCAGAGAATATTTCAAACAACTCTATGCACATAAACTAGTAAACCTGGAAGAAACTGATAAATTCCTGGACTCCTGTGTCCTCCCAAGCCTAAACCAGGAGGAAGCTGAAACTATGAATAGACCAATAACAAGGTCAGAAGTCGAGGCAGCAATTAAGAGCCTACCACACAAAAAAAGCCCAGGTCCAGACGGGTTCACAGCCGAATTCTACCAGATACAAAAAGAGAAGCTGGTACCATTCCTTCTGAAACTATTCCAAATAATACAAAAAGAGGGAATCCTTCCCAAATCATTTTATGAGACCAATATCATCCTGATACCAAAACCCGCAGAGACCCAACAAGAAGAGAAAACTTCAGGCCAATATCCATGATGAACATAGATGCAAAAATCTTCAATAAAATATTGGCAAGCCGATTGCAACAGCAAATCAAAAAACTTATTCATCATGATCAAGTAGGATTCATCCCGGGGATGCAAGGCTGATTCAACATACGCAAGTCTATAAATGTAATTCACCACATAAACAGAACCAAAAACAAAAACCACATGATTATCTCGATTGATGCAGAGAAGGCATTTGACAAAATTTAACAGCCCTTTATGCTAAAAACCCTCAATAAACTCGGTATCGATGGAACGTATCTCAAAGTAATAAAAGCTATTTATGACAAACCAACAGCCAATATCATACTGAATGGGCAAAAACTAGAAGCATTTCCTTTGAAATCCGGCACTAGACAAGGATGCCCTCTTTCACCACTCCTATTCAATATAGTACTGGAAGTTCTAGCCAGAGCAATCAGGCAAGAAAAATAAATAAAGGGTATTCAAATAGGAAAGGTGGAAGCCAAATTGTCTCTATTTGCAGACAACATGATAGTATACCTAGAAGACCCCATCGCCTCAGCCCAAAAACTCCTGAAACTGATAAGCAACTTCAGCAAAGTCTCAGGATATAAAGTCAATGTCCAAAATCACAAGCATTCCTCTACACCAATAACAGACTTAAAGAAAGCCAAATCAAGAACAAACTGCCATTCACAATTGCTACAAAAAGAATAAAATACCTAGGAATACAACTCACAAGCAATGTAAGGGACCTCTTCAAGGAAAACTACAAACCACTGCTCAACGAATAAGAGAGGACACAAACTGATGGAGAAACATTCCATGTACATGGTTAGGAATAATTAATATCGTGAAAATGGCTATACAGCCCAAAGCAATTTACAGAATCAACGCTATCCCCATCAAGCTACCATTGACTTTCTTCACAGAACTGGAAAAAACCACCATGAACTTCATATGGAACCAAAAGAGAGCGCACATAGCCAAGTCAATTCTAAGCAAAAAGAACACAGTGGGGGGCATCACACTACCGGATTTCAAACTATACTACAAGGCTACAGTAATCAAAACAGCATGGTACTGGTACCAAAACAGAGATATAGACCAATGGAACAGAACAGAGGCATCGGAGGCAACACAACATATCTACAACCATACAATCTTTCATAAACCTGACAAAAACAAGCAATGGGGAAAGGATTCCCTGTTTAACAAATGGTGTTGGGAAAACTGGCTAGCCATGTGCAGAAAGCAGATACTGGACCCCTTCCTGACACCTTACACTAAAATTAACTCCAGATGGATTAAAGACTTAAACATAACACCTGGCACCATAAAAACCCTAGAAGAAAATCTAGGCAAAACCATCGAGGACATAGGAGTAGGCAAGGACTTCATGAACAAAACACCAAAAGCATTGGCAACAAAAGCCAAAATAGACAAATGGGACCTAATGAAACTCCACAGCTTCTGCACGGCAAAAGAAACAGTCACTAGAGTGGATCGGCAACCAACAGAATGGGAAAAAATTTTCGCAGTCTACCCATCTGACAAAGGACTGATATCCAGAATTTACAAAGAACTCAAACAGATTTACAGGAAAAAAACAAACAAGCCCATTCAAAATTGGGCAAAGGATATGAACAGACACTTTACGAAAGAAGACATATATGAGGCCAACAATCATATGAAAAAATGCTCATCGTCACTGGTCATCAGAGAGATGCAAATCAAAACCACATTGAGATACCATCTCACGCCAGTTAGAATGGTGATCATTAAAAAATCTGGAGACAACAGATGCTCGAGAGGATGTGGAGAAAAAGGAACACTTTTACACTGTTGGTGGGAGTGTCAATTAGTTCAACCATTGTGGAAGACAGTGTGGCAATTCCTCAAGGTCTTAGAAACAGAAATTCCAATTGACCCAGCAATCCCATTACTGGGTATATATACAAAGGACTATAAATCGTTCTACTATAAGGACACAGGCACACGAATGTTCATTGCAGCACTGTTTATAATAGCAAAGACCTGGAATCAACCCAAATGCCCAATGATGATAGACTGGATTGGGAAAATGTGGCATGTATACACCATGGAATATTATGCAGCAATCAGAAATGACGAGTTTGTGTCGTTTGGAGGGACATGGAAGAATCTGGAGAACATCATTCTTAGCACACTGACACAAGAACAGAAAATGAAATACCGCATATTCTCGCTCACAGGCGGGTGATGAAAAATGAGAACACATGGACACAGGGAGGGGAGTAGTAAACACTGGGGTCTATTGGGGGGGAAAGGGGAGGGCCAGCGGGGGGGGGAGGTGGGGAGGAATAGCCTGGGGAGAAATGCCAAATGTAGGTGAAGGGGAGAAAGGAAGCAAAACACACTGCCATGTGTGTACCTATGCAACAGTCTTGCATGTTCTGCACATGTACCCCAAAACCTAAAATGCAATAAAAAATTTAAAAAAAAAGAAAGTTTTATTTCAAAACACAGAAAACTGTCCACTTTGAAATAGAGTAGGACATAAAGAGTAATCTGTTATTAATACTAATACAACACATTTGTTGCATAGTGGCACTTCTCATAATGTGCTTCTTTAACTCCCTGGAGCACAGGGCATTTACTCATGAGAAGTACAGATTCCTGGGCCCACTCACCTACTGAATCCAGATAGCTGAGGATGGTAACAAGAAATCTGGATTTGTAACAATCTCCAGGTGATACCGATGGGCAATGAATAAGTTTAAGAGTCACTGGTGTACCGGTGATGTTTTATTTTGTACCTGATCTTACCTTGTCAGCACCATTTTTTAAAATTTGCAATCCCCTTACTGGGTATATACCCAAAGGATTATAAATCAGACTATTATAAAGACACATGCAGAAATATGTTCATTACGGTACTGTTTACAATAGCAAAGACTTGAAATCAACCCAAATGCCCGTCAATGATAGACTGGATAAAAAAATATGGCAAATATGCACCATGGGATAATGGAATACTATGCGGCCATAAAAAAGGATGAGTTCATGTCCTTGCAGGGACATGGATGAAGCTGGAAACCATCATTTTCAGCAAACTGACACAAGAATAGAAAACCAAACACCGCATGTTCTCACTCATAAGTGGGTGTTGAACAGTGAAAACACATGAACTCAGGGAGGGGAACATCACACACTGAGGCCTGTTGGGGGTTGCGGGGATTGGGGAGGGATATCAGGGGGTGGGGGGATGGGGGATAACATTAGGAGAAATGGTGATGATGGGGGGATGGATGTAGCAAACAACCATGGCATGCGTATACCTATGTAACAATCCTGCATGATTTGCACATGTACCCCAGAACTTAAATTATAATAAAAAAATTTTTGCTTTTTAACCATCTGGTCCTAAAATACACTCCTTGTCTCTTTCTAACTATTAATATCTTCCTAGAGACATGAACTCTCTTAGGTTTGCAGTTTCTGTTTCCTGACACATTCAAATAACCTTAATGGTGGGTCTCTGAGGCCAAGTCAGGACATCTGCTTAATTGCTAGCCTCACAATCTCCTTCACTTCTTCCTCTGCATCCTGTTATGGACAATTTACCAGGACATAGATCCCAAACTTTCCATTTCACCATATTGATTTTTTTCGCCGAATAATTCTATGTACTGAACACTTACTATATACCAGGAAATGTGCTAAGAGCTTTATTAACTATTTTAGTCTTTGCAACAACCCTGTGAAATAGAACATATCATTATCCTCTTTCTATAATTGAAGTGACTGGCTCCAAAAGGTTCATGGCACAGCAGAATGCAATAAGCCTTCTGAAGAAGAGCCTTCATCATCACATTGTTGCCTCTCAGTCTCAGGCTTTTGGGTTGTTTAGCAAAGTGAGATTATGAAGAACTGATTATCTCCTGTAGTCCCAATTTTATCCCAACTTCTGAATATTTGCTTGTTACTAGAGAGGATTGGCAGACAAATTAGAAAAATAAATATTTCTATGAGTATTACATATTTTATGCAATCTATTTATTCCATGCTATTATGGTCTGGGAATAGCATGTTTTCTATAGGTTTTTATTTTTGAGTTTTTGTTATGTATTTGTTGGAAAAGAAACAAAGAATCAAATTTTCTGTAGAAATCTAATACTCTATTAAAACCAGATGCAAATACAAACTCCTCAAAGCATAAGTCAGAATACAAGAAACATACCTTTGCTCCTTCGGGCCCTGGAAGTCCCCTCTGTCCTTGATTTCCTTTGCTCCCTTTCTTGCCTTCATCACCCTAACAAAATAATTATGAAAATACAGATACTGTATTATCAACCTTCCCTAACCTAGTAAGGACTATAGCACAGCCAGATTCTCAACTAATACCAATTTAAAGTGTTGTGCCCTAAGCACAGCTCTGTTGTGCAGGATTTGTCAATGTTCTTGAGGAGATCACACGACTTCAGATTGTTCATCCTTTACTATTTATTCAATATGATTTGGTAGTTTTAAAAATCTAAGTTCTATATCTTTCTTTTGGAACTTTTATTTGAATTTATAGTTCCTTTGCACCTTGGTCTATTAACAGATGGCTCTGAAACATTCAGTTTCAGAAATGAGAACTATCTATGCTTTTTCATGCTGTTTTTCCATTTTTCTATTTCAGGTTTACAACATGAAATGAGACATTTTAAAAATCACAGCCCTATTTCTTCCTCACTGGGGAGTCAAATTCTTTCCCCCACAAAAGACCAATAGTTTTATTGGCAGAAAGATGCTTGAGCATTAACCTAGAACAGAGCTAGAAACTGCCTACTGACTGTTCCCCAGCATGGTTGTGTAAAACAGTACTCCCCCAAAAGAATTCCTTTACCTTCAAAACTATCTTTCAAATAGGGTTCAACTTCAATGCACCATAACCAGGGATATAGCTCAACAAATGAAAATTCCGTGGTCTGCAGCTGAGGCTATTTAAATATTTGTGATATAAATGACTATACGATCGTTTTTAAAGTTGAGCAACAGAATCACCTGGAGGGCTTCTTAGAACACAGATTGCTGGGCCCTCCACCCAGAGTTTCTGATTTAGTAGGTCTGCACTGAGGTCCAAGCATTTGCATTTTTAACATTCCCAGGTGATGCTGATGCTGCTGGTTCAGGGACCACATCTGAGAATCATTGGACTATATACTAAGATCATCAGCAAAGCAGGTATTTCACTAAGAGGTGACCTGTAGAATCCACAGAGGTTTCCATGGTCCACACTAATGGACAGCGAGACACCGGTGTAAAAAACAAAAACAACAACAACAACAAAAGTAGTTGAATATCCAAGTATCTTATTTTCACTTACCAGTGGAGACAAAACTCAACCACAACTATTTACTTTCTTCCCTCCACTCTCACTAATTTAGGTTATTGACCTAAATCACCCCAGAAATCAACAGCAGGAACCCAATTAAACGTAATAAATCACTAGCACTGAACCATGGTGTGCCTGGGCTATGTAACATGTTCCTACCACTTTTCTCCAACGGCCTTCCATAAGCCACAAGTCGCCTCAAGTCACAAATTCAGTAGCCTCTATTTCCAATACACATTCTCCTTACTTTATTGGTGGCATCTGATACCACCCATTGCTTTCATCTTGAAATCCTTTCTCCTTGGCATCCCTAACATGCTACCATTCTGCTTATTCTGTCGAGTGCTCGTTCTCCAGCTACCTCCCAATGTGGGGCTTAAACCTCAACTCTTCCTTAGAGACATCGTTTATTCTCATAGCTCCAAATATTAACTCCGAGTGCCTATTTTCCAAAAGCACATCCTAAAAATATTAGCTCTTCTGAATGTTAGCGGACGGGCATTTCTGAAAGTGTATTTTGCATGATGATGTTATCCCCTCCACCTCACCCAAAAAGGATCCCATAGTCTGGTAAATCAATAAATAAAAATGTTTAAAAGTCTGCAAATACATTTAAATTTCATATATTCATATTTAGGATTAAGGATTCAATTTTAGTGAGTATTTTCACAAGACATCAATTACTATTTTAGAATTATGAATAGAACACTAGTAAGAATACAAATTTTACATTCACTTGTATATAATCCATAAAAATCTTTACATGGGAATTGACAACTGCACATAAAAATTGTAGGAAGATCTGGAATCTTAGAGGCTGTAGGTTATTTTTACTAGTGGTGTTAGTCTACTGATGAATTTGTATAGTCTCAACATACAAAGATGTTATTCAACTAGCATTTCTACAAAGTTTAAAATAAATTTATGCCAAGTCATGAAGTGAAATGTCCATTTAACAAGGTGGACTGTCAATTTATGGACTGTCAAATCTCAATGACATATCTCAAGGCTTCTTTTCTTTCCTGTGTGTTTTTTAAATGTCGACCTGACCATTTATTGAGAAAACGTGTTGAACTCTTCTATATGCTGGGGCTTACAATAGACGTTAGGAAAATAAAAATGAATTATACATGCGTGCTGTCTTCCAAAAGCTTCCAAGATAGTATTCATACTTCTAAGCCAGACATAAACACATTTGACATAGCAAGAATAACAATCAAATTTCTTCTAAGTTGGCTCCTCAGTATGAGGACCAGAACACAGGTTGCTTCCTCCAACACTGTCATTTCCATACCTTGGGGCCAGGCAGCCCTTTTCCAGGTGGTCCTTCTGGGCCTCTTGCTCCCGGAAGCCCCGCTTCTCCCTTGAGGAAATGACACTGATGTTTCAGCTGACCCTCCAGCAGACAGACAGTATGTATCATCCCACCTTGTCTCCTTTTATCACCAGTGGATTCAGCTGAAACTCTCCAAAACACACCACACCTTGACTCTAGTCTCAAAATCAATTTGGAAGTTTATAAACTTAAAGTAACATCAAACTCCAGTTTAACTCAGAGCAGCTGGAGTATCATGAAAAAGTTTAATTTCTCAGCCAATTTCCAAAGAAATAAGCTCATTTTCCTTTGGCTCTTCATTCACATTTGGTAGATTTTTTTAATAAAACAGGGAAAACCTTCAGCCTTTCCATCTGCTGTTTTTTGCTACTTTTATTGAAAAATGAGTATTTCAAATGTCAACTCAAAATATTTCAGGAAAGCTTTACAATGGCCTTATTTCCTGAATGCATTTACAGACTCTCCTCTTGGGGGGTGGGAGTGGGGCGGAGGGAGCGGGTTTTCTCTTAAGTTTAAATTAATGTGCTTTCTAGATATCCTGAAGAAACTAGGCCATAACCAAAACACCAGAGAGAAGGCAGAAGATGTAAGACACTATCTCAGCCTTTCAATAGTCCACTTCTTCTATCAGGGATAAGTGAAAAGGGACATTTGGGATTGTGAGTTCTTTTTTTCTTAAAGAGACTAAGTGTGTCCTGGATGGTTAGATTCGAGCTCCCACAGGATCAAGATACCAGCTTGTTTCAATAGTTCTTTCTTCAGTAATATGAAAAACTTGGTGTTACCTTCTTCCCTGCAGCTCCATCTTCTCCTGGTACTCCTGGTTGTCCTGGGAGCCCTATTAAGCCTGGCTCCCCCTGGTGGATGAACAAATATTTTATTTCCCAAAAGTTCATGCATCTATTCTGAGGTACTTGCAATTAGATGCATCTTACAGTGTTTGAGAAAAGCCTCTGAGAAATCTGTTTAGTAATTAAAGCTAAACTATTTGATCTTGAGAAGTTACTTAACAACTCTAGGCCTTAGTTTTTGATTCTATTATTATGGGCTGAATTGTGACCCCCAAAAGATATGTTGACATCCTAACTCTTTATACCAGTAACTTTAATTGGAAACAGGGTCTTTGCAGATTTGATCAAGTTAAGATGAAGTCATTACAGAGGACCCTAATTCAGTATAACAGGTTTGGCTCTGTGTTCCCACCCAAATATCATTCAAATTGTAATTCCCTGTGATGAAGGAGGGGCCTGGTAAGAGGTGATTGAGTCATGGGGGTGGACCTCCCCTTGCTGTTCCCATGATAGAGTTCTCATAACATCTGGTTGTTTGAAAATGTGTAGCATGTCTACCTTCAATCTCTTTCCCTCTTTTACTCTGCCAGGTAAACATGTGCCTGCTTCCCCTTCCCCTTCTGCCAGGATTGTAAGTTTCCAGAGGCCTCCCCAAAAGCCAAGCAGATGCCAGCATCATGTTTCCTGCACAGCCTGCAGAACTGTGAGTCAATTAAACCTTTTTTCTTTATAAATTATCCAGTCTCAGGCAGTTCTATAAAGCAATGCAAGAACAGACTAATACAATGGGTACTATAAGCAGAGAAAAATGCCACTTGGAGGCAGACACATAGAGAGAGCACCATGTGACAGGAGAGGCAAGGACTGAAGGAAGCAGCTGCTAGGCAAGGCATGCCAAGGATTGACAGACATGCCCAGAGGCTACGATGAGACCAGAAAGCATTCTCTCTTACAGGTTTTGAAGGAAATATAGCCCTTCAGACTAATTTTGGACTTTGTCTGAGACAATAAATTTCTACTGTGTCAGTTTCTAAATTTCTGTTGTCTCAGCCACTCAGTTTCTAGTACTTTCTTACATCAGTTCTAGAAAACTAATATGAGTGAAATAACAAGTTCGTGCCCTAACACCACTTCCAGCTCTAATATTCAGTAATTCTACTTGCTTTCAAGTTAATTTATGATTAGTAATGAATCCTTTAAAATGTTCAGGAAAAAAAAATCCTACTTTCAAACAGTTTAAAGCATCTTTATGGCATGTATTAATAGCAACAAAATGGAAAATAATTGAAAGTAACTTCAACTAACCTAAGCAAGCCAGTGGAAAAAAAGCACAGTAAATCTAACAATAAGTAGAAGGAAAGATAAAGATGAAAGAAGAAAATAATAAACCTGTAAACAAAAAGTAAAAATATTCATAAAATTAAAAGGTAATGCCTTTTTAAAAACTAATAAAAGTAAATACATTTCTAATAGAAATGATTCGGGTTTTTTAAAGAAGCAATAAATATTAAAAATGGAAGCTATATCTATATATATAGTAAAAATTTTTTAAGTAATAGAAAATTGATAATTTTAAAAAATGTATTGAAAAACAATAATAATCTTTGAGAAAAATATGAATTATATAATGCTGTAAAAAGAAATGAACAAGCTAGATAAACCAATACTACTAAATAAATTGAGTCAGTGATTAAAAGTCTCTACTTCCTCTCCCTCCAAGATCACAAGCTTAGTTTGTTTTACTGTCAAGATTACCAAACTTTTAAACTTTTAAAATACAGTTATTTCCTACCTTATAGAAACAGTTCTAAAAAACTAGAAAAACAGAGAAGTCTATCTAATTTATTTTATGAGGCTTATAAAGCCTTTTTAGAAAAATTATACAATGGCAAGACAAGAAAACAAAATCATAGACCAGTCTACCTATGAAATATAGCACAATTTAAGCTTCTAATCAAATGCTATAATTTCCCACAGTGCCTACATAAAGCTTCCAGGGATTGAGAAACCAGGGAAAGTTCAGGCATCTCTCCGAGGAGACAAACATATGTGTCTGGGTAAGTCAAGGTATCAAAAGTTCACAAGGCAGATAACCAGAAGAAACACAGAGAAAACTGTAAGTATCTTCTGAGCATCCAACTTGATTATTCAGTTGAGTACTACTCAGCACATGTGTGTGAAGAAACTACCCAAGGCCAGGGAAACAACCAACTTAAAGGATTAGAGAAGTGACATGGAACCAGGAATAGTGCCTATTTCTACTGGCAAGAAATAAAACCTCACAATTCTGAGGGCATAGATTGGAGTTCTAAAAAGGGTCTTGCCTCAACAATAGGGAAAAATTAATCCTAGACTAAATGCTGCTGTAGTCTTACTTAACAAAACTTAAAAGCAAGACCCAAATGGGTCAAACTATTTTCAAGCAACTAAAAAACATTCAAGAAGAAAGCTCAAAATAGAGGAATGCAAAAATATCCAACATGCAAAATGGTAAAATTCACAATGTTGGGCATTTAATAAAAAAGTATTCAGCTGGGTGTGGTGGCACATGCCTGTAATCCCAACTACTCAGGAGGCTAAGGCAGGAAGATGGCTTGAGCCCAGGAGTTCAAAGCCAACCTGGTCAACACCTTTTAAAATATTAATATTAATAATAAAATTTAATTTAAAAATAAAAATAGGCATTAAAAAGGCTGAAAAATATAGTACTTTGTGTTGAGAAAAATCAATCAATTGAAACTTACCCAGAAATAACACAAATAGTAGAATTAGTAAGTAAAAATATTAAAACAGTTATTATGACCATATTCCATACAGTCAAGAAACCAGAGGAAATCTGAAGCATGTTAAATAGAGACAAGAAAGATATAAGAAGGAAACAAATTAAAATTTTAGATTTAAAAAATATGATGTATGAGATAAAAAAACGCTGGATAGAATTAAAAGCTGATTAGTGTCATGGAAGAAAAGATTAGTGAACTAAAACATATAGCAATAAAAGCTATCCTAAATTAAACACAGAGAGAAAAGAGACTGAAAAAAAATGAGCAGAGCATCAGTGAACTATGAAATAACTTGAAACATCCAAATATCCTGGCCAACATTTCTAAAACCCATCTCTACTAAAAAATACAAAAATTAGCCAGATGTGTTGGTGCATGCCTGTAATCCCAGCCACGTGGAAGGCTGAGGCATTAGGATCACTTGAACCCAGGAGGCAGAGGTTTCAGTTATCCAAGATGGTGTCACTGCATTCATCTGGGTGAGAATGAGACCCCATCTCAAAACAAAAATAAAATCCAAATTTAAGTAAAATTGGAGTTCCTGGGGTAAGGAAGTGCTATTTTAAGAAATACTGGCCAAATATTTTCCAAATTTGTTGAAAACTGTAACCCATAGATCTAAGAATATCAGTGAACCAAGAATATCCATGAACCTCAAGCACAAGAAACATATTTAAGGCACATTATAATCACACTGCTCAAAACCAGTGATGTAGATAAAATCTCAAAAGCAGCCAGAGGTAAAAAAGACATGTCATGTAGAGAAACAAATATAAGGATAACAACAGATTTCTCATCAGAAGTAATGCAAGTGAGAAGACAATAGAACAACATCTTAAAAATATTAAAAGGAAGAAAAAGCAACTGCACATTATAATTCTATAACCAGAAAAAATAATAAGGACATTTTTTTGGAAGTTGATTTGGCAATTTCTTGGATTGCTAAATGAATATCTACCTTCTGACCTAGCCATTTCACTTCTAAGTATTTACCCAAAAAAAAAATAAAAACAAATATCCATACAAGCACGTATATAAATGTTCATAACAGCTTTATTTATAATATTCAAAATCTAGAAACAAGCAAAATTTTTATCAACAGGTGAATGGATAAACAAATTGTGGTATATCCATATAATACAGTACTAATCAGCAATATGAAAGAATGAGCTGTTCATATATATGCTCTAACATGGATCTCAGAATGATTTTGCCAAGTTAAAAGAAGCCAGAAAAATATCATATAGTATATATTTCCATAAAAATCTAGAAAATGCAAACTAGTCTATGATGACAAAAAACAGATCAACAGTTAGTGGATAATTGAAAAGTAGATCTGTGGGAAGCATATTAGTGAACATAGAAGAAGTTATGGAGGGATAGGACAGATGGCAACTTCTGAGGGTTACAGAAAACTTTATTATCTTGATTGTAGTGACGATTCAAAAAGCATATATATATATATAATAAATATATCTCTCTCTCTATATATATAATAGATATATATATGTATATATATCTCAAAACATCAAATTGTATACTTTAAACATGTGTATTTACTATATGCCAATCAGATAATACATAGTTATTAAAATAAATGCAAAAATCCTAAATAAAAGATTAGTCAGTTGAATGATTATCATAAAAAAGTACATGTAATAAATTGAGTTTATCTCAAGAATGCAAGGATGGTTTGACATCTGAAAACTTTGGGAATATAATGTGTCATATTAACAAACTAAAAGTTGAAAACAATACAATTATCTTAGTAGATGTATAATTTGATAAAATCCAGTAATCATTTATATTTAACAAGTAACATTTGGTACAACCAGAAAAGAAAGAAACTTCCTTAACCTAATAGAGGGTATCTATCAAAAACTTTCAGCAAATGTCATACTTAAGAGTAAAATTTACTTTACTTAAGAGTAAAATTCTAGAAGCACTTCTTTTGAAGTTGCTTTTTTTAAACATTGTACAAGTGATCCTAGCAGTACAAAATGATAAAAGTAAGTAATAAAAGAAGAGCTAAAAAAGAATAGGTAAAACGTTACTTTCAGGCAATATGATTGTGTACATAGAGACTGAAAAAGTAACAGACTCAACAAATAATGAGAGATGTCACAGGGTGGCTGGATACAAAATCAACATGCCAAAACAAAATGAAAAACTTCTCCTATAGACTATACTAGTTAATTAAAAGATGTAGGAAGGGAGGCTGAGGCAGGAGAATTGCTTGAACCGTGGAGGTGGAGGTTGCAGTGAGCCAAGATCACACCACTGCACTGTAGCCTGGGCAACAGGAGTGAAACTCCGTCTCAAAAAAAAAAAAGATGTAGGAAAAGGACAATTCACAATTATAAAAATTTCTACAAGGTACTTGGAAATAAATTTAACTAAAGTACAAGGCCTTTATGGAGAAAATTATAAATATTTTTCTGAAAAATTAGAGCTTTATTCTGTGGTATGAAATACTTGCTATTTAATCTGTAGATTCAGTGCAAACCAAATAGGGTATCTTGTTAAATTTGACAAGTCAACCCTAAAACATGTATCTTAGAGTCAATATTAACTAAGAAATAAGATGAGAATATTTTTCCTTTTAGATGACAAAACATATTATAAATCTATTATAATCAAGACAAGGTAGTAGCACTAAGAGATATACAATATACTTATTATATATTACCTCTCTGCAATTGACAGGTATATAACATATGTTTGCATACATATGTACACAGAGGCATATATTACATATATGTATAAACATATATGTCAAAGTTGGCACTTAGTATACTGTGTTGTACATGGAAACCATGTAAAAATGGTAGCTATTATTACGATATTACTATATTTTTTTGTAATGCTGTATTTATATATGTAACGTATATTCTTCTTAGAACTACATCTAACATACTCTTCTAATACTCAAATGATCATAAGAATAGGACAATGACAACAAAACAATGGTGAAGCTGAGTGTTCAACATGGCTCTCTGGATCCTATATAACTTAAGGATGAGTTATAGAAAGTGTGGAGGGTAAACTAAGTATTTGTTCATTATTCAGCAGTATTTATTGAGATTCTATCATGTTCCCAAAGCTGGGGATTTTATAATAAACCAAGATAAACAAAGTGCCACCCTGGTGGAGTATAGATTTTAGAGCAGCACTGTCCAAGAGTAATATAAAGCAAGCCATACACGTAATTATAGCTTTTTCATTAGTAGTAGCCACACTTAAAAAGTGAAAGGAACACGTTATATAGAGTTAGATAGCACATGCAGGCATGCAGGGTCTGTACTGCAATCGGATATAAAGAAACCTTATGTAATATTACATAAAGTAACATATCACTTCTTAGCAGCAGTCAACTCACCTTTGGACCTTGTACTCCAATTCCCACTGGTCCTCGAGGGCCTGTAGGTCCCATTTGGCCTAATTCTCCCTAGTAAGAAAAGAGAACATTTTAATACAGCAGCAAAGTGAAAATAATATATTCTGGCTGTTGATTTCCTAAAACCTGTCTTATACTAACAATGTAAAATGGTTTCATGTGCTCAATTCATATATATTGCCCGAAATTCCTTCAGATGGATGGATTTTAACCAAATTTGGAATGAAAAATATACATATCATCTGACTTAAAATATAGGCCATATAGCATATTCAAAATTGATTTTAAGAAGCCCCTTGTGGAGGGCATCTGGAAAAGATAGGCAGTTGCATCCTAGAACAACTAAAATTGGCACGGGAAAAGCCAAGGTAACTGCTGATCAAGAGCAATGTCATAACCAGAAAACACAATTTGAGCTTTCAAGGACAAGTCACAAATCAAAACTCTCAAGGACAGTCTGCGTGGTCCATTGAGCAGCTTCTCACACAAATAGCTCTAAGGAGTATGTCCTAAGGTGAGTAGTTTCAGAGAAGTATTTTATTTATTTAACAATGACTCATGATTCTTGGAAGCAATATTAAGGATAACGGGTTAAACAAGTGCCATGCCCCTCCTCAAGGAAAAAATAATAGTTCCAATTTATGAGATAGTTTGATTCCCAAGTACATAGAACATTTTTATTTGTTAGGTCATTTCTAACCCCATCTCTTTAGCTAAGGCTTTAGTAGTTGGACCTACTGTCAGAGTGGTGGTGAGAATGAAAATTAGCCAACCTAGAGAGATACATAACCAGTGGTTGCCTCTATTGATATTACCGCCTGAATTACTAGAATAGGATCACATAAGTAAAAGTAACAAAGAAAACAATACATGAAAATTATGTAAGTAAAACTTTCTTAAAGCATAAAGAATACATAATTGTCAAGAATATCAGTAATATTTTGCATTAAGTAGAGATCTCCGATTTTTAAGTTCATTCTATCTGCTGTATTCCAAAGGCACTGACACTGATCAGAAAACAGCAATTATACTATAGATATATTCAACTCTGCTCTCATTTACAAAGTTACCTTAGAACCAGGTAAGCCTTGTCCTGGGGGCCCTTGTGGACCAGGTGGACCAATAGGACCTTGGATTCCCTTTAAAATAAAATTTAAAAAAAAAGAGTATTAGTGAAATTAAGACATTTGGATAAGAGTAGTTTCAAATCCTCTAAAGTGAAACTTTAGTTCAAACCCCATAATAAGTTAGTTATACTCAATAAACATTTGTAGAGTGGGGTGGCAGGCGCTGCTAATTAAACCATGATTTGCATTCTTCCCTACTTATACATTAAGAGAAATTTTAGGTGGCCCATATGGCTAACCTAGAATAAAGATCACGTTTCTCAGTCCCTGTTGCAACCAGGTGTGGCCATGTGGGCTAGATTCTAGCCAATGGGATATGAATAGAGTGATGTGTATAATTCCTGATTCATGTTAAAAGAAGAGGTATACCTTCTCTTTCCCTTTTCCTCTTCAGTAGCTAGAATTAAGAGACAGTGACCTCCAGGATCATGCAGAGAAGGAAAGCACCCTCAGTATGGCAGACTAACAAGACTGATTAATAGAGCCGCTCGACCAGCTTGGAGTTTTAAGTAAGGAAAATAAAATTACACCTAGTTAACCCATTTCATATCTCTGTTCATACAGGCAAACCTATATCCCAGTTGTTTCAATGAATATGTGTTGGGACAGTAAATTGAAGGTTTGACCGAGCCTCTAAGAAGCAATAGTCAGCAGATACCAAAGTGAAGAATGTTCAAACACTTGACTCCCTCCTTCACCCTATAAAGGAGGTTTTTATATATGAGTATAAAAAGGATGTACATATATGTATGCATATATATGTATATGTGGCTGTTTATATTTCACTGTATTTTGTAAAAGATCTGAGTTGATCAAGCCTTCAAATATTTAACAAAACTCTCTGGGGCATTTAAGAGATATTGTAAACATGTAGCTGGAAACAGAAGTTCCCTCATAAATACATGAGTGAGAAAATTCATTTTTATAAGAGAAATAGGAAGATCTAATATAACAAGAATTCAATGGATAAACACATAAAATTAAAGAAAAGAACATTGAATAACTACATAAACAGAGGTTAAATTTAAGAAGTTATATCATTTGTCTTAAAAGGTAAATAAATTATTTTATTGCTCAGATCATTTTACAAATAGAAATCTCATTTCTAATAGAGATCAGCTCTATAAGGACACATCCACCTTGAATTTTTTTTTTCTTTTCAAAAAGAAGAAAAGAGGGTGAGAAATGAAAGCAGTCCAAGAGTTTTTTTTTTTTTTTTCAAGCTGAAGAACAACAACTTCCACCAAGAAACAGCAGCATTAAAGGCAACAGGAAGCTGTAGGTGGGAGGTCCAGAATTCACAGGCCATCTGGACAAACTTGTCTTTGAACCTCATGCTTAGCCCTATAGTGGTCACTCAGAACCAGGAGCACCACAAGACCCAAGATGTGACAGCACTGTCCAGCCACTTTTGCAATCAGTAAGCTACAAGGCTTGAGAATGTCTGGTGGTATGATCGAATCATGACACTTGAGTAGCCCAACTACCCAGCTCTTAATTATTATCTAAATATTTATTTATACATTTATCTTGGCTTCTTCTGTACCTTAAGTTTCCTAATATGTTAGACTAGGACCTCTGCCAAGGGCAAGGGAATGGAAAAAGGAGTCATATCCAACTTTGCTGATGATTGGACTAACAAAAAAAGTAATAATAATAATAAATTAGCAGACAATTAGAAATAAACCCAAAGTTAATCTCAACAATGGCACTTGGAATTATCTCATTTTAAAAATTCTTCCCTTCATCCACTATCCTAAAGAAAGCAGTATTCATTCTCTAGGCAATAGAATAATTCAAACCTTAATCATAAATCTTAATCAAACCTGACCTGCCACTTTCTAACCAGAAGATATTTAGCATAAATCTGGATTTATTGGTCACTTTGATTAAATGAGACTATATAAGTATATGGTAAACAACAAAGTATATGGTAAACAAAAAAAAAATACATGGTAAACAACAGTAGCGAGTACTGTTCACATTATTTAGATTTATCTCAATTACCCAGATTTTTCCAAAAGTTATCAGAAGATTTTGGAAGTGGTTCTCATCATGAATGTAGACATTCTTACAGATCTTTTTTTTTCTTCTTACAAAGAGGGGTCAGGTGTCATTTATAGATTCTCTCTGTGGTTTGCTTCTATTCCAGAAGGGTGCCCCTTAAACTAAGTGGTTACCTCTGATCCTGCTCTAAATTTTAACTATAATAGCTTTTTTAAAAATTGGTATGTGGCTAGTTGGAGTGGTTGGTAGGGGGATACTACTCTACTCCATTGGTAGAGAGTGGGATTTAATTTTCACAAACCTTCAAGGAGAAAAAAGTACAGAAACCAGCAGGTAAATAAACTTGTTTCCAAGCAGAACTAAAAAAATATTGCCCCCAAACATTTACCTTGTTAATTAGGTTTTAATGTTAAAAGTTACAGCATCAAGAAACACATTACTTATTTTTTAAGCCTTTAGAAGTTCTAAAAAATAAAATCTCATTAAACTGTCTTATCCATCCCTATATTTAATTCTGGACTTATACTCCATTGCAATTAACTGTCAAATATATGCATAGATGTTTGCAGGACTGGCCTTCAGTGAATACCAAGATTGGGCTGGAATGTTTCGCATTAAAGGGAAAGGAGAAATACATTAATTACCTGTTCTCCTTGACTCCCGATTCCAGGGATGCCCATTGGTCCTTGGGGTCCCACAGGTCCCAAATCCCCCTGTATAGAAAATAAACCAGGAAATATAACAATAAAACAGAATCTTATTTTTTCATACTTTGCTAACCTGGAATTAGGCTATGTTTATACCATAAAAAAAAGCTCAACATGGAAAATTATAAAACTTTATTTTATTCCTTTTAAACAGTATGTAGTTCAAAGTCACCAAAATAGATAATGACATTTTTGCTATTCAGTTTAAGTTGATGAGCATTTGTATAGGCTTATATTTATCAATCATTTTTCTCAAAAAAAATTCCTCAATAGTTATCAACACAAACACTTCCTGCTAGGATTATAACAAAAATATTTTAGAAAATTCATAGGATATAAGAAAAATAGAATTTGAGTGATAAATTGAAGAAAAATATTTTTAAATTTTCTAAATATCCTTTCCCTCCCAATCTTATTTAAAATGCATTTTGAAAATTAAGAAATGATCTCACATGAATGCAGCAAAATTAAAGAGCCCTATTTCCTTCTTCCACGAAATTGAGAAAAGAAAATTAAAGTTACCAGCAAGAAGAACATCATTCATTCTTTCTGTGTATTTATACAGATGTTTGTTGAGTGCCCATTATATTGCCAGAAAGTATTTCAAACATTAGGAAAACAACAGTGACCAAAACAGCTCAAAATCTCTGTCCTCCATAGAGCTTAGATTTTAGTAGGGGAAACAAGAAAGTAAACAAGACAGTTAGATAAAATAATTAGTATGTTAAATATTAGATAAAATAATTAGTATGTTAAATAAGCGTGAAAGTGAAAAATTAATCAGGGAAGAGAGGAGGCAGCAATGATTTTGTAGTTAGGATGTCCAGAGACGACGTCACTGATGAGAGGGAATGAGCCAGGTAGAAACCCAGAAGGAAAGCATTCCAGGCAGAGAAACAGTCAGTGCAAGGCTGATGCCCAGCATGTTCCAGAAACAGCAAGGAGACAGTGCGGTGGAACTATCTCCATGAGGGAGAGCAGTAGACTATGAAGTTGGAGAATTATGGCAGTGGGGTCAGGTATAAGGATCAGTGAAGCCTTCGAGGCCATTGTAACGACTTGGCTATTTTCTGAGTGAGATAGGAAGCCACTAGAGGGCTTTGAGAGGGAAGTAAAAGATCCAACTCGGTTTTTAAGGCCCCATCTGGAAGCTGTATGGAGAACAGACTGAAGGAAGATCTACACGAGAGATGATGGGGCAACAACCAGAGTCTTGAGAGCAGAGGTGGTAGGGAGCACTCAAAACCTGGATAATGCTAAACGTAGAGTGATGGGATTTGCTGAGGATTGAGAGGACTCCAGGAAGTCTCCAAGGCTCCTGGCAGAATAGAGTTGTCATTGACCAAGAAGAAGAAGCCTGAGAGAAAAACAACATTTGGGGTGGAGGGTGATATCAGGAGCTCAGTTTTGGACATGTTTAGTTTGAGATACCTAAAATGAACATCCAAGTGGAGACATCAAGTAGGTGGGAGAGGCCTGGGATGAGAACATAAATTTGGAATCATTCACATATAAATGATATTAAAGGCCATAACTGAATCAACCTGCCAAGTAATAGAAAAAAGAGAAGGTCCCGGGACTGACCCCTTTAAGCACTCCAATCATTAGAGGTCAGAGAGATGAAGACGCCACAGCAGTGAGACTGAGAAGGAAGCAGCCAGAGAGACCAAGTGAAGAGAGCATTTCAAGAAGGTGAGGGATCCATCTGTCAAATACTACCAACAGGGCAAATAAGTTGACAACAAGAGAATTGACCACTGGATTGAGTAACATGGTTAAGATGTTCATTTTAATGGCAGTTGTATTTAGATTACATTAGGGCCACAGAACTTTTTCTTAAACAGTTGGAGAGTAGATATTTCAGGCTTGAGGGTCGTAATAAGGTCTCTTTCATAATTGATCAATGCTGCTTTGGTAGTACAAAAGTAGCCATAGACAATATATAGTGAACAAGTATACCTGTGCTCCAATAACATTTTATTTATAAGAACAGGCAGACAGCTCCACAGTTAGCCAGTGTTTGAGCTAAATAAATAAGTTTTTATGAACAAAAATGTATCATTGATCAAACTTTATAAAATAATAAATATATAAAACCTGCACTAAGAGATCCCCTGGAATACACTCCTCAGTGTTTCACTTTCTATTAACCCTTGGTCTACATAAGTATTATGGAAGGAAAATGTAATGGAGTCAAGTTCTGGCTCAGAGCTGGATTATTTTGATTCAGAATTTGATTTCTTATACATCGGATATATATATATATATTTTCAGACGGAGTTTTGCTCTTATTACCCAGACTGGAGTGCAATGGCGCGAACTCGGCTCACCGCAACCTCCGCCTTCTGGGTTCAAGCAATTCTCCTCCCTCAGCCTCATGAGTAGCTGGGACTACAGGCGCGCACCACCATGCCCAGCTAATTTTTGTATTTTTAGTAGAGACGGGGTTTCATGTCGTTGACCAGGATGGTCTCGATCTCTTGACCTCGTGATCTACCCGCCTCGGCCTCCCAAAGTGCTGGGATTATAGGCGTGAGCCACTGCGCCTGGCCATACATCAGATATTGTGCTAAATGCTTCTCATCCTTTATCTCATTTATCCTCACAACAACCCCTGTGAAGTGGGCATCCCCATTTTTCAGATGAGTGTAAGTAACTCACCACAGGTCACACAACTGTTAGATGGCAGATGTGACAGTCAAGTCTACTCTGACTCCAGAACCCAACTCATAGCCACTAGTTTGCAAATATTTGTTAAACACATAAGAGAAGGTCCCTTTTTTGTTCAATGTTATTGACAGTTAAATACCAGTGCGATAGGTATAACTCTGTTTTGTACCATTTATATACATTTGAGAGGCCTTATCAGAGCACAGACAAAAACAGCAAACACTGTACAAAACCCCCAAATTATCAAACATCCTCCAGTACTGGCTAAAATTATTGACTGCTACTTCTACCAATTATGGCTCAGTCTAACTCCATTTTTTCCAACTTCTAAATAAAATTCATTAAATATTTAATACTAAAATTATCCTCAATTATCAATAGCATTCAATCCAGAGCCCATCCCTGATTTTTAAAATTATTCCCAAAATCACATAACACAAACACATGAAATATGAAATATCTTTCATCCTCTTCCTGAGTCACTGTAGGTTCATCGTGTGTGGCCTCCCTCCCTGCAGAGTCAACAAGCCTTTGTTAAAACTCTGGATGGATTCCTATTGGTCCTTGCTAGAGGGCATCAACACTAGTTTTCTTAAATGAGTTTCCTTATTTGAACACCATTTTAAGACAATATTTTAGAGTGGGAGCCTAAGGATGGACATACACTTTTATAACAAGGTCAAGTTGATGTTTTTAACAACTATTTTCTTTACTAAGAAGAAATGTCTTTTGATAATGTCTGGATTCAAAGCTACTTTGCTGATGGTAAAAGTCACTGGATGTCAGAACCTAAATAAGTGAGACATTATAATAAATGAATCAAATTTCTCAGATCATAAGTCATCCTACATAATAACACATCTTGAATATACTAGATTTGGAGATCATGGTGGACAGGAGGTAAGACTATATTGCAGCTTCCACTTGAGAGGAAAGAATAGCATATGAAGGCTCACATTGTGAACATTTGCTCCAGAACGACTACAGGAATACATTAGGAAAGCAAAAAAAAAAAAAAAAAACCCAGAGATGTGCTGAAGGAAAGATTCCTCCTGCAGGACCCAGCAGATACCCCAAATATTGTGAGCATGCAAGCTGTGGAAATGGAAAAGGGAGATTGTCCACCCTGAACATATACCCCCACTGGGGAACCTGAAGTTCTAGATTACGGAAGATTCTGACCTTACCTGGAGCAGAGTCAGTTTAGAGAGCCAAGCAAAATACAGGTGTAGAATAAGCAACAGGAAAATCCCTGTGGGCTCAGTGGGTCCCCTAGCAGGCCATATCTGCTTCACATCACTGGAGTTCTTGAGGACAGCTGCCAGAGGCACTGGGAAAAGGCCATAGGGTTAAGGAAACCTCCAGCTGAACTTTATAATAATTTCAACTGATTGAGAAGTCTCCTGGCCAGAACTCACGAAAGGGTGTGAATCCAGTGTGCAGACTCCACAGGCAAGGGAAGAAGGAATGCTCTACTGACTTTCCCATCTGGGAGGCAGGCAGCCTGGGGCAAGTTCTCAGCCCTGCTCAACCACTGCCTGGAAACAGACTCAGTGTTGTTGGGGGGGGCATGGTGGGAGTGAGACCGGCCCTTTGGTTTGCATGGGAGCTGGGTGAAGCCTGTGACTGCCACCTTTCTCCCATTTCCCTGACAACCTGTGTGGCACAGCAGAGGCAGGCATAATCCTCCCAGGTACACAATTCCATTGACCTGGGAACCTCACCCTCACCACCAACAACAGCTGCAGCAAGACCCACCCAAGCAGAGTCTAAGCTCAGACACACCTAGCCTTGCCCCCACATAATTGTCCTTCCCTACCCACCCTGGTAACTGAAGACAAAGGGCATATACTCTTGGGAGTTCTAGGGCCCCTCTGATTGCTTGTTCCTTTCCATACTACGACAGCTGATGCTCTCTTGAAAGCACCACCTCCCAGCAGGAGGCCAACCAGCACAAAAATACTGTAGAAACCAACCAAAGCTAAGGACCCTCACAGAGTCCATTTCACCCCCCGCCACCTCCACTGGAGCAGGCGCTAGTGTCCATGGCTGAGGGACCCACAGACAGTTCACATCACAGGACTCCGTGCAGACAGCCCCCAGTACCAGCCTGGAGCCTGGTAGACTTGCTGGGTGGCCAGATCCTGAAGCGAAATAACAATCACTCCAGCTTAGCTCTTAGGAAACCACATACCTAGAAAAAGAGCGAGAGTACTACATTAAGGAAATCCCAGTGGGACAAAAGGAATTTAATGACAGCCTTGAGCCCTATAACTTCCCTCTGACAAAGCCTACGCAAATGAGAAGAAACCAGAAAACAACTCTGGTAATATGAC